CACTCATAGTTAGATGTAGAGAATAACAAACAATGCCAAACAGTTGGTTAATTCTACACTCTGATTTTTGTTTGAAAGATACCTCCGCATCAGTTCCACAAGTGAGCACATCCACGTCAACACCAACAACACTCACTGGTAATCAAACTTCACTGACATCCACACTTTCGAGTCAACCGACAGAGTCTGTGGGGACAACATCAGCTCCAACTAACACCACAACATCAAGTACTGTAGGCACAAGTGAGCAAAACATTTTATTGTTTATAGATCACTCAATGACTGTGGTTGTATTAGTTATATAAATCGACCGAATTGTCAGATCTTTCCATGTGCTCGTTACGTGTTGCTTTTGAGAGTAAAATGTGACGGGTTGTTGAGCGTCGACTGACACTCAGCTTACTTTCTATTTAATAGGTGATTTCTTTTCTATGATCGATTTCTACTCTGAAGTCACTGAGTGTAGACTGTTTGTAGTTGTGTTGAACAAAGCATTTCCTAGACAATATTCTGGTTTCCTGTATTTGGTCGCGAATCGTGTATCCAGAATAATGTGATCCCAGTCTGTCTATAGTGCATCAACCAAGCATTTAGTCTAGTGGCCGTACAGTCTAGACACAGGATTCATGATCATAGTAGATTAGTATGTAGCGTATTGGGATTACCAATTGTAGCGTGGCGTCGAGTTGAGATTAACTGTGAACACCGCTACCAGGAAACACGTGCCAGATAAATCAGAAGGCGTAAGAAGCTCGTTCCAAATGACTCCATAAAATCCCCGAGAAGCCAAATATCAGAAGGCAATTAATGGACCAAGTCGATGTTTATTTGCTGGCGATCTCGTGGCATCGAAAGGATACCGAGATCGTGCCAGAATACAAGCTTGGTTACAGAACGTAACCGAATTCGCGCGAAGTTACAATCGAAGTGTAAGCGAAAGAATGGAAGCAGAAAATAGCTGTCATTAGCACAGTCAAACAAAAGCACGTTAAAACAAACACTGGTACAGTTGGTTATAATAATAATTGTTTTTATTAAACCAGTCGTGTTCTCGTGATAAACGTGAGTCACTACAGGAGCCCCCCGCTAGAAAGGGTTTACACTTTCGATAAATAGCGGTTTGAATCGTGGGACTGATCGGCTGATGAGCGATTGTAGGACGGAAGAATTGGCGAACAGGAAAGCGATCGTTGATCGTCGAGTTGCCAACGAAGGTCGTTATCGGAGAACGGTACCAGGAGCGATGTGTTGTATTTATTGCTTGAATTGGCATGCTACACCAGAGTGGTTTGTATCCAGAATCTGAAGAGGGCGTTCGTACGGGTCCGGACCAGAAACGCTGCAGACGAAGGACGAAACCACGTTGAGCCGATGAACCAGAAGCGACCATAACGACCATGTTCGAGACCAAGCATATGCCAAGCATTCGAAACCAATATATCGACTGAGTACGTTGACAAGAGCATGGGTGATCAGGCCAGCTTTCGCCAAAGTTGACTGGAGTCGACGGAACCAAACGGGGATGGTCGAAGGCGTGGGCTCAGGAAACAAAAAGAAAATCAAAAAAAGAAGAGTGTAGCATACGTGTAGTATAGGAATAATCCTACACCGTATCGGTAGTTGACTGTGCGACTATTCGCGGAAGCGTACGGGTAACCGTACTCGGCGACCGGAACGTGAGACGGCAGTCTCGTTCGCGTCGCGTGAGCCTGCAATCTCATCCGAAGTCAAGGGCGGCGTGGTCTGCTGATCTGGACGTGAGACTGTCGTCTCGTCCGTAGACGGTGCAGATGACGCGTGCTGTTGACTGGGACGTGAGAATGAGGTCTCAGATGTATCTAGCGTGGGACCTGAAGATGATCTAAGGATCCCGCTAGGTTTGATAGGTCTAGCATTGAATCTCAGGGTGTCAGATAGGGCACTGTCATCGACGTGTGCTGGTTTGAGACGATCAATGCTGACGATCTCGACGCGTCCATATCGATCAACCTTGAAGGTCTTTTCGTGACGAGCGATCACGTGAAAAGGGCCTTCGTAAGGTTGTTGCCAAGGTTTGCGTACCGAATCTACTCGTACAAAAACATGTGAATAGGTAGATAACTCTCTCTCGAGAGCGACCTGTCGATGTTGTATTCGAGTTGACACCGGAGACAGCGTTCGCATAAATGCAGACAGTCGATGGACGTGGTCTGATTTACCGAAATTAGGTCTGCTCCGTGGTGTGAAGAATTCTCCGGGCAGACGCAATGTCGTGCCGTATACAAGTTCAGTGGCGGAACATTGGATATCTGCCTTTAAGCTCGTTCTCGCCCCTAAAAGAACGAGCGGTATGGTTTCGTGCCAGTTGCCGTTTTCGTGTGCTCGTAGAACACTTTTAAGTTGGCAGTGAAACCGTTCAACTTAACCATTTAGTGCTGGGTGGTAGACGGATATGCTTATGCGTATGCATTCCGTACCAAGCAGCCGGGTCAGCGAGGAGAATCGTTAATAGGGTAACATTTCTCGAATAAAGCGTGGAATTCATCATCACGCGAATAAAAAGTGACAAGGATTCGGTACACATACGTGTGAGTCTATTATATTAATACTATTCTTATCGTTATCCGTCATGTCGCGTATATTATATATTAAAAATATGAAAATATACGACAGACGTGGATAGATAAATCATAGACTCACCGAATTGGCTTCTTTGGAAGATTTGATCAGAAGTTGAGGCGTGTTCCAAAATACGGCTCACCAATTGTAGCGAATTGGGATTACCAATTGTAGCGTGGCGTCGAGTTGAGATTGACTGTGAACACCGCTACCAGGAAACACGTGCCAGATAAATCAGAAGGCGTAAGAAGCTCGTTCCAAATGACTCCATAAAATCCCCGAGAAGCCAAATATCAGAAGGCAATTAATGGACCAAGTCGATGTTTATTTGCTGGCGATCTCGTGGCATCGAAAGGATACCGAGATCGTGCCAGAATACAAGCTTGGTTACAGAACGTAACCGAATTCGCGCGAAGTTACAATCGAAGTGTAAGCGAAAGAATGGAAGCAGAAAATAGCTGTCATTAGCACAGTCAAACAAAAGCACGTTAAAACAAACACTGGTACAGTTGGTTATAATAATAATTGTTTTTATTAAACCAGTCGTGTTCTCGTGATAAACGTGAGTCACTACAAGTATATACCGTGGTAAAGGAGAATATCTTTATTCTGCTGTTATATCAGCTGATGTGCATGTTGTTTTCCATAATGAAGTAAAGTGTTAAAGCGGGTTTGTTTTGTGATGTTTTTACAATAGGGTGAAGAATTGTCTTATAATGTAGCTAGTCAAACAAACCGACTGAATGAAAACCCACCCATCTGTTGGTGGATTCGTAATGAATACCAATATTAAATAGAATGTGTTTTAGTGTATTTTAAGGTCTCACATTGTTACGGTGTATATTCCAGTTACTTTGAATTTTCTTACCTAAATTAATGAAACACTTTATTTACTTTTAACCCATCAATTCACAGCGTTTTGAATAAGTGGCGTTTTCTATCATGGTCTGATCACTTCACTCAACAGATAAAGAAGAACTGAATAAGACTGATTTTCACAGGCCTAACAAAGTCATACAGTATAGGGAGGTTGTTCGTGGAGGTTGTTGAGTGTTGCTGATATTGTGAATTGACCTGAATCAGAGAACAGATGAAAAGTAGGTGGAAACGGACTGCTGTTTTGTTGCTAGAATTCCAGTAGGTTGAGATGAATGCAGTTAAATCGTGTCTAGTGCAATGTGATTGTAAAACGAAGACCATGGAAGCTGATGGTTGCGTAATATCTGTGATCGACCGAAGTTGGAAATGTGAACCGGTTCAGTGGTCCACATGTTGAATGCTCGTCTCAACAACTGAGTGTCTTGAGTTCAATTGTCGATGAACTCGTTGATGTTTACTGTTGGAGAGGTCCGTACTAGGACAAAACAATTGTCCAGTGCTTCCTGATTCCCACTAGTTGTCTAACAAAGATTTGATTGTGGTCACAATATAAATCTTACACTCAACGAAACTTCAGACCATGTAGATCGAATTCAACAATGTAGCACTATTCAAATATATACAAGTTCACTGCATTCCGAGAACCACAAAGTGTGCTACATAAATTATAGGAATTCATTTTAAAATTTGACAGCAATTTGGGAATTCGATATGAGGATCACTTCCGAAAAAATAGAACACATGCTCACTCCAATATTGAAAAGCATACACTATTATTTGTACTCATATTTTTCGGTAACAGATTAGTGACAGGTATGGGAAGCTGGAATCATTTTGAACACGCTACTATCACCACGACTGATAATTAATCACTCATAGTTAGATGTAGAGAATAACAAACAATGCCAAACAGTTGGTTAATTCTACACTCTGATTTTTGTTTGAAATTTACGTCTGCCTCAATTGCGCAATGGTGCACAACTGATTTTTTTAACTGTTCACCGTCTTCATCTACTGGGCATCTTCGTAATCGACTGCTGATGGCGTACTGGCAGTATACTTGTGGATTCCTTTCGCATCCACTGCAACAGCAACAACCCTCGCTGTTATTCTCCCTTTTCTGATATCTTTATTTTCGTGTCAGCCTTCTGATTCTCTCTGTTTGATTCTGCACTCTAATTTTGTTATAGGTTCCTTTACAAGATTTTTTTAGTGGTTGCAATTTGAAATATTGTGAATGTTCCGAGCTCTTTTGATAGGTTACCTGATTTTTTCCCTGATAACACAAAATGTTTGGAATGTTTTATTATTTTTCATTTAATTGTTCACTCCTTCTTGTGCCGTTTTGTCTCCGCTGACCTTATATTTAAGTATCAGATTTTCCTAATGGATGAAATTTTGTGCTATCTAAAAGATTTCCATTGACTGTCAAGTGACTTGACTGGAAATTTTTTATAAATTTATTAAATTCAAATATCAACAATTTGATTTTCCTACACTTCTAAATTCATCCTACAGATACAATGGGAACAGTTAAAGAAAGTAGTACAATTAGTGTCAATAACACTTCATTCACAACAAGCACATCTGTAATGGATTTCAATGCATCCACAACCATGTCAGTATTAACGACTAAAGCATCTACTGATAAACTAACTGAAATAACCTCTACATTCTTGAGTCAATCAACTCAATCGGTCACTAATTTATTTACAAACGCTTCGACGTTGACTACCGTTGAAACGACAACCACTACGATAACCTATGTTAATAGAGGTAAGTTTTATTTGTTTTGATTCATAAAAATGTCTTTCCTGTGTTACTAGTACAGTGATTGTAATATGAAAGGCTACAATTTGTTCTAACAATTAGGATTTAATTTTATGGCGGAGTGAAAGAACTACGACATCAATATTTTCCAATGATTCATGAAATTGAATTAAGTACTTTGTTGTTAATAGTTTGTATACAAGCATGTTACTTGACAATAAATGTTTTTCCTTCTGGCTAGTGGCATTGCCTTGGATGATTTGGCTGCCAGCGTCAATAATTCTGTTTGGTAGGCAAATGTCATCAAGCTACTTTGTATCATCAAATGGCCTTGATCATCTATTAATCAGCATCGTTTTCTTTTATTTTAACAATAGAAAGCCAGTTGGTCAATCGTACGTTTTACTCTATAATACGTGGATATCAGTTTGATCCACGATACGATTTGTGTAAATTCTTTCTCCTAAAGCTCCATAATTCACTAAAACTGATTCTTCTTAAGACTGATGACAAACCTCTGGTCACCAAAATGATGGATTGTTTCGAATGGTGCTTTAGTGTATTGGAATGAAACGACTGACGCTACTATCCCTAAAATGGGAGTTAGAAATGTTAAGTTTACTTGTGATTGGGTTTAATCTGTTGGAATCCCACATGATCATCAGACTATGGAACCTGGTTTTAGAAAAGATCATTTATGCGTTCATCATATTGTAACCCTCTATTACGCCAACATTCATTGTGTTTCTTGATATTTGAATTACAAAATATAATCCACATTTATGATAGAATATTCATTTTATCGAACAATGCTTTATGAAGATTCATCGTATAACCATGAAGTGACTTTAACAAATCAGACAGTATTCGTCACAGCGTTACCTCATTCCGGATACCACTGGTTTCCAAAAGACACTCGATAACTGCTTCATTCTAGCATTGAACTATTGAGTATTAGGAATTCCACCGTTGGTGATTGTTCTAGTGGCTTTAATGATCAAGCGTTCTCACTACATCATGAAGTTTCGCAATACAATCCCTAGTTGGGTAGTTAGTGAATACTACCGATTAGTTCGATACAAGCAATAAATACCTGTCTAGTTCTTCCCGGGTTACAATGATACTCTGAATGAAGTTAATTCATGAATAGTACTGTTCAAAAGTTATGTTAACCTTGAAAAATTCTCCTTTAAATAAACATAATAAATTACTTAATCTTTATTTTTTCAATAACGTCTTGTTTTATTTGTCTAGTAACTACAGCGTTTCAAGTCAAAGCAATTATATACGCTATCACTACTGGCAGGTATGTTCCATGGTCAAATGATTATGCCGATAAAACAACGAGTGCTTATAAAACCTTGGCTACAAACTACTGTTCCTTGGTATGTGTCATTTTTTTTACTTCAATTCTATCATTTCAGAAAGCGAACATGGTGTATAATTTTGTTACAAATTACAATCATAATTATGTTCAGAATATACGAAATGCAAAACTCATGGATACATCATCTAACACATATATCGAAACAAAAGTTTAACAGATATTAAATAATTGAATATAGTCGACAAGACGCTCTGCTAGTTGTTACTGAACACTTAGACATACTTACAATCTTAAAAGGAATTATATTCTCCGCGGGATTTGAACTTTTATCACCCAGTCTAACAGCCAGAAATGATACGTATACCTCAAAAATAACGTCTCCGACTTCTATACTAGGAGATGTAAGCGTAAATCTTACTAGAACAATTAGATGGGCCCGAAAAGTATCCAAAACTGTTATGATATTTCGTAATACTCTCTTCAAACAGCTCACCGAAGACGGTAGTTTACGGTGGCTGAGTTTCGTGGATTGGTTGAAGTTAAACATTAACACCGTTAGATGACGGTTCAGTGGTTTAATGGTTAAGTGCTGGCGCGCGAGATAGATAGTTCCTGGGTTCCTATCTCGCGGGGGGGATCGTGGATTTGCACTGCTGAGGATTCCCAAACTAGGACGAAACGGCCATCCGGTGCTACCAGGTTTTTCATGGTGGTCTAGCTTCAATTGATTCATGATTTCAACTAATAAATCATTATCGTTTAGCTACAAACTTTTCAATATTTTGACAAAAATTGTCAAATCTATCATACCCATCATTATTACGTACTTATAAGTGTTGTATAACCAAAATATTTATAGTTTTTCCCTAATGAGTAGCAATGATGTACTGTTTTATGTATATTAAATCATGTTTTTCACTCTCTTCAATACAATTTAAGCTATTGCAGAGTTTACTAACACAAAATACACAAATAACTCGTGGAGCAACTTGTACATTAATTGGATTCATTCGAACTACACTAAATTCACCTTCTAAACGACAAATTCAAAACTCTAACAATATTACAACTGATGCTGTTCAAGGCAATGCACAAACTGAATTACAAACATTAGCTGGTTCACAGTTAAATCAAGCGCAATTTTCACAAATATTATTAAGTGGTTATCAAAAGCTTAATTTATCAAGTGGAAATTATCTAACCGGCATTGATACAACACGTATGTAATATTATGTGCTTAATTCAATTTGGTATTGTTTAATTGAAACATCCCTTTGATGTTTAGGATTGCAACTGATCATTCTGTTATTGGCATATGTGTATACTGTGCGTATTGCCTCGATACCATAGTAATTCACAAGTATTTCAAACAAAGATGAACAGCGGCTAGCAGTGGAACCAAGGACGCGCGTTTCCTCCTATTTATGACTCGTTAGCTGGATGTACCTGTATCTCATAGTTGATGTTCACTCTAGGACTCGAACCCAGTACCGTTCGCTTCAAACTCTATCGCGTTATCCACTTAATTACTGAGTCCTGATAGCCACTTGCTTGTGCTTATATGTGTTTAAGTGCTGAAATTCCAGCTCATATGTAAATAGTGATCTGTAACTTTATAATTAACCCATGTGATCAATACCAGAAGTTTATGAAGATTGTTGAGTTTTTATGGTTTGAATTACGTACTCACTTTAACCCGGTAACTGTTGAAAGTCAAGAAATATGCGTTAGTTATGTTGTCCTTTCATGTGACTACTCAGTGATAAAGCTAGCTATTTAAAACTGATCTATAGTATATGCAAAAAACTGAGAATTACAGCATTAGATAGATAAATAGATGTGTAAATATTTTTAACAGTGGTCTAGGTTACACTGGAAATTAATTTTAGCTAAATTGATCAGATGGTGATATCATCCAGTGGTAGCAAATAATAAGTCGGTTCGTTCATTTTCTCCATAAAACAAAATTAACTTAACAAATAATGAATAACAATAGTAGTAGGTCAAAAATATGGACTAGTCAGTCCTGCTTAGTGATAAGAGATTTTAAGATGTTCAAGTCATCAAGCAATTTATGTGTCATCAACACCATCCTTGTTACCACATTGATGCGGAGTCTGCTTTCCAAATCAATAGGCTTGTTTGTTTAAATCCTAAGGTTTTTGTTATATTTCAAACTTTTATGGTGTAAGGTTTTTCTGCCACTTATTAAACTGTTATCTCATGACGTTACAAACAATTAAGAAATACGGGTAATGTTGGCTAGCTTGACCATCAAATAAAAATGAACTTCAATGTGAAAGGTTTTAAATGATTGTTGAACAACAACCATTAGAAACCATGAACCACAGTAAGGTTGTTTCGTCATAGTATGAGACTGCTCAGCAATACAAATCTACGATTCATGGCGACCCTGCAGTATACTGCACTAAGAAACTGTATCTCAGCTCACTATTTCGAAGACCGATCACTTCGTACGAGACCAGATGATCCTATGTTCGAACTCTCTTGGAGTTACAGATATTTACTTTTGAGGAGTACAATGTTTTCGTGCTTCACACATCTTCTTTCTAGACAGCTTTATTAAGACAATATATTAGTCATAATTTTTAAAGGACTACTTGATTTCAAGACTTTATAACATACTGAATAATTCATTCATGTTTGCAGTGATAGGCATCGAGTTCATACCCACCTTCAGTTTAGATCCATCCAACAGATGAGACATGAATAGGATGAAACTCAGGTTCTGTTTTCAATTACTAACCAACATAAAAAATAATCCAGGATATTTTTCTGATGAAAAGAATCGTAATGAATTAAACCAATACATATTCTTCCTACAAACACATTACTGTTTTCTGCCTATTTTCTTTTATCTATACTTCCAACACCCTTAATTTATCGAATAATTTTGATCATACTTAACTCTTGAGCTAATTTTCTTTAAAACGTTATGTTGTTGTTTTTTCTGTTTTCACAGGGATTTCACCAACTATTACATGTTCACAAACTCGATCACTTTGTGGTGAACATGCATCATGTCGAAATACTGACAACGGTGTTACATGTACATGTGATCCAATGTGGAAAGATGTAAATCCAGATGATCCAGGAAAAAATTGTACACGTATGTTTCAAAATGTTTTTCCCCTATACACTATATGTATTATAGTTGCGAATTGAATGCTATATTCGTTTCTTAAGCTATTCTGTAACCCTCAAGCTAGGATTATACAGCGACCTGAACACAAGAGAGAAGACGCAAAGTATACGAGAAATACTTTACTCCAAGGTTTGTTTTTGTACAGAAAAACACGGGTATTTATAGATGTTAACATTTAATAAATCAACATCATATTTTAGCCGATCCGCTAAAAAACATATTGTGCCACTGACCAATAGTAACACGCCATGTTGACATTCTAGAAAGCTCCATCATGCTCTGATTGTCTAGGACTCTTCGACTCTTCTAGGGCCTCTGGAGGCTCCGTTGCAGTTCTCGGAAAGACGACTCAACAATAATATATAGTTTTTTATATACCATTATGTTCCTAATTTGTTGTATTGTGTTAGCTATAATTTACAAAGGTTACCTAGTAGTTTGACATCGATCTCTATAACGATGAATCTTACGTAAGTGATAGATACAGTTGAACAAAAAGTAACTTCACTTGTAAAAAAAACAATACTACTTGAAGAACAGTAGCTTGAAGAGTATCATGCCAAAACAAATTTCTACAAGGAAATCCATTTCTGTTCTTCGTAGTACTTCTTTCTTTATCTTCCTTAATACCAACCACTGAACATAACAACTGCTTAGCTAGTGATAGGATAAAAATGTTTGTACATAATCTAATTTGTTTAACTGATAACAAATTAAACTGGTAATAGGATGAAACAGTCAATTATTTATATGAGCTAGGGTTATTACCCCATAGTGTTTTCGTTACCAACTAACGCTAGCGATAATGTAATATAGTTAGGGTTATGTATTTAGAGTTAAGCTGGAGTTTTGATAAAGGTTTACAAATTAAGCATTATAATGCTCGGTCTTCCTCGTCTACACGAATGAAATGCTAATTTACCTTAGACGAATATCTACTCTAGATATCCTACCAGCGTCTATTCTACACAACTTCAGCACAACTCAGATCAAGAACACGTGATTAGCCTGACTAGAATTTAAGTATATTTGCATATTAGTAACCGACAACAATCACAATCATAATAAGGGAAGAAGAATATATAACTCATCTAGTACCTATCAGAGTATTTACGAGTCTTAATCAGGAAACAACTAATCATTATCTTCCTCACCTACATATCATTAAGGTTAAGGTTTTCATCATGAACTAACAGCAACTATAATGTAATAGTTTATAATTCTTTTGTATGCCAACTTGGGAAACTTGGGGTTGAAATTAAAAGTATGGATTACAATGAGAGAAAACTATTCAGGTTCATGAAGTACTCCTGGTCAAGGATTGAATCATATCAAGTACTTTAACATACATTCTGTTTAATGATCAGGTTTGTTTAGTAATTAAGCTTAGGGATCATCTTAAATTTACTTTTTAGTTGCATAATAGACATTTTCGTTTATTTCAAACATTTAAATGACTAAATTGTACCAAGTTAATCAGTAATATTGATTGAGATAAATGTAAACGAAGAAGATATTTCTTGGTTGGTTAGTTTGATATTTCAGTGAGTGAATTATGTGTATCCATTTAGTAAGTCATTTACTGGGCACAAATTTGCTTACTTGGTTTCAAGCCACCATCTTAGCGTAAGAGTCAATGATACTACTCAGGTTACTGAAATAAAATTAGATGGAATGGAAGTCAAAACTGAGATTTAGTAATTGAAAGTAAAGTATCTTAATTTGTGATCTGCTACTTCACATACACATTATTACAAGATCAGTTATAGTGAACTATTAACTTTCAACTAGGTTATTTTATTACAGTTAATAAGATCTGTAGCAAGTTTAAAATGACTAATGAATGATATGGTTTCTGGACATTATTTATTGAGCAAAAAAATCCTTGTAACTAATGATGTATACATTCTACCATTTTTATACTATTCATTTTACACTTTATTTATTTGGTGAGACTTTAATTTATGGACCACCTTAAGGAACGCTAAAATGACTTTGAGAATGTTCAGCTACTAACTAAGACTAAATGATGATTATAAAAAAGTGTGAGGAATTAGAAATTATGATTTACAGTTGATGGTTATAGTTAAGCGTTAGATTTAGGCTTTCCACTACTTACTGGTATCAGCTAAAATATCAAGCCTTCAAATGTTCTGGTACGGCCGAGAGTGAGGAGAGTCAGCTCTCTCTCTCTCTCTCCAAATGCTCTCACATAGTCAGGCGTATGCAGCCACTGCCAGCGAAGTCCTACTCACTGCCCTCTCACGGTAGGGGTATTGTTTAGGAAATTGAGAGGACGAGAAGCGAATGTCCGGCGCTTTAATCGGATTAGTGGACATAGAAAGTCCACCTAGAGAAGTTGGAAAACTCTCATTCCAAACTAGTTGTGCACACAGGCTCCATGATCCTGAAAGAACAAATGGCGAATGAACCAATTATTAATCATCCGCTACCATGGGACTGAATCTCCTGATGTTGCTCCACTACCGTATAGATCAGACCTTTAGGTCAAAGGCTCCGGGTATGGCCCTCTAAGGAAACCATCTGCTTTGATCTGAGCACCCAAACAGTATCACAGCCTACACACAAATCAAGTGACTTGTGTAGTGTATATGTATTCAGTGCTCCATTGTACCAATATTTATGTATTCAAATAAATAAATAAATATAAATAGCAAAAAATGGCAAAACTCTATTTAACCAAATCGATGAATGAATTAATTCACATTAAAATTCAAGATCTATTCTCTTATGATCTGATTGGTTCATTCATAAATTATACTCTTAGCATTTATTCATTGAATAAACTAATTCTTTCTTCTTCTTCTTCTTTTTTTTTTATTTTTCTCTGTTCCTTTTTTTTCAACAAGTACATCCTGGAACAATTGCATTAATTGTATTTGCTGCTATTCTATTAACCATTGCTATTGCTGCATTAATCTATTTTCTAGTTCGAACAAAATCAATGAAACAATTACGATTAAAATAAATTGACATAATGAAATATTAGATTAATGTTTATATTTATTTTATTATGATTCAATTATACAATTAAATTAGTTATGTTATTAAAACAATATTTGATTTGAAGTAAACAAAAAACAACCACAATGTTTATGTTTCTTCTTTTTCTACTTCTTCTTCTTCTTCTTCTTCTTCTTCTCGTTTTCTTTTTATGTTCATTCACTATCACAAATATACATATTTAATAAAACTAACTTCAATACATTATATGCAAGGATGGATCGTGAGTAGTAGTAGTAGTAGTAGTAGTAGTAGTAGTAGTAGTAGTAGTAGTAGTAGTAGTAGTAGTAGTAGTAGTAGTAGTAGTAGTAGTAGTAGTAGTAGTAGTAGTAGTGGTAATAGTAGTAGTAGTAGTAGTAGTAGTAGTAGTAGTAGTAGTAGTAGTAGTAGTAGTAGTAGTAGTAGTAGTAGTAGTAGTAGTAGTAGTAGTAGTAGTAGTAGTAGTAGTAGTAGTAGTAGTAGTAGTAGTAGTAGTAGTAGTAGTAGTAGTAGTAGTAGTAGTGGTAGTGGTCATGCTTGGAACTCATCAGCGGAATGTACCTGTATCATCAGAACTGATGTTCACTCTGCAACACGAACCCAGTATCGTTCACTTCAAACACCATCAGGTTATCTACGCCACTACTTAGTCTTCATAGTTACTTGCTTGTGAAATGGGGTGAAATTTAATGTCACTTGATATTGTTATTTGAATCTTCCCATTGATGTTTAGGGCTGCAATTGGTCAATCTCTTATTGGCATATGTGCATACTGTGTGTATTGCCTCGATATAACCCTATACAAACAATAACAAGTGAATGTAAATTCAGTACAGTTTATTTACAAGCTGCATTTTTGTTAAAATATATAAATAAAGAATTAAATGGTGAATTAAACTGTTCTTAAAATTACATAATTCACATCAAAATGCAATCTTAGTTAAACAACTAATGAAAACTAGGATGTACTGGACTCGTAGTTGGGTCTGGATCGTGCGTTCGCATTCCGCTGTTTGTTCACGATTTTGGTTCAGTCGTTTCTACTTTAAATGGGTGCTGGTGGGTTGACGATTTCGTCTTGTTGATCTGTTGGCATACTTTCGGATGCTTTTAAACGGGTGTCGAAAGCGGATGGCATATTTGAGTGCTTAAAGTAGGTTTATGCGCCTGAAAATTTCTTCATGGAGTAATGAAATAGGACTTCGCTTCTATTGAGGAGTCCCATACTAGAAAGAAATGTCTCTTACGTGACCTCATTTCTTCAGTAGTTGCCTAACTTAGATAAGCTTACGATCTCAACGACATTTTCAAAACTTATACCATCTTCTGCTCCATAAAAACGGCTTCAGAGAGAAAACAGGTTATCATTTCTTTTGGGTAAAATTACTTTGACCAAAATAGTAGTATCCTACACTAACACTAGACAAGGTGTAAAAAGTATCAATTACGAGGTTGCTGAGATTATCGATCTTTGGTCAAGTGACGAACAAATCTAAGTAGGACAAACATTGTATACCTGGAAACACATAATAGCTGTTTTTCATAGTAGCGAACCACTCAGCAGTGTGTCCACAAAATTACCACCGGGTATCGAATGCAAACCTGAATAGTTTGACAGAAACTGGGTTTCAAGTATATTCAAGACATTATGTTTCAAAACATATGTGAAATAATCCCAGTGACTTAAATTTAAATAATTCCAACTCTTCCCCGAGAAGGCTGATCTTCTTTAAGATAATAATCATAATTAATAAGCAAAGATGGATAGCGTGTAGCAGTGGAATTCAGGACGTGCGTTTCGTCATATTTAGGACTCGTCATATGGATGTACCTGCATCTCAAACCCCGACAAATTCTCTCAATGTGAGATGCATGTACCTTCAGTTGACAGGTCTCAAAAAGGACAAGGGAAATAACTAAGATTCCTACCCTAGCCACATTTCACCTATAACTAGGACCATATAATGGTTGAAAAGCAGTATAAGGAATTAGAATTGTGATATACAGTTGGTGGTTTTCATCACGAGCTAACATTAGCTAGAATATCAAAACGCTATTTAGCCAAATAGATGAATGAATTTCGATGCGAAATTCAAGACCTGTTCTCTTATATCTGATTGATTCGTTCATAAATTATAGTCTCACCGTGATCGACTCTACTTATAAGAATATTTTTAACGTTGTGTAGTAGAACGTTGCGTCAACAATAATTGTCAAACATAATGATGAGTTTCAGTGAACCGAAAGCACGGTGTTGACAGAACACTTGAAAACCAGACGAGAAGACAGATCCGATGGCAGGATACACCAAAAGATGTAATTTAATTACAATGAATAAATAGAATTATTATTTACGACCTAACATATAGGAAAAACAACCCCAAATTATTCAAAATTGGTGAATACATGTTTACATTACACAAATTGTTATATTATATTCATTCAATAAGTGAGAAATTAAACAAAATGTAGATAAGATTCATTAGATATCACTTACATGCATACGCGGAAAGATGCACATAGGGAGAAGCAATCGTGATCTACCAGTAGGGATGGCGGAACATATACCCAAATAGCTTCAGAAATAAATGAATTCCAATGGCTAAATATGATCACAGAATAGACAAACATCTTCCTCTATTGCGAAACATTTGGTTGAGACTAGTCATAAGGTTGATATCAAGTCAGCATTTGTAGTGTTGTACAAAGGCCTTCAAGGGCGTATACAATGGTTTATTGAAGCTTTGACTATACGGAAACTGAAACCCCCTTTATGTGTTCCAAAACAATTTGTTCATACAACTAAAGATGGATAGTGGGTAGCAGTGGAATCCAGGACGCTTGTTTCTCCTTATTTGGGGCTCATCAGCTGAATTTACCTGCATTTCAGAGTTGATGTTCACTCCATAACACGAATCAAGTACCGTTCACTTCAAACGCCACCAGGTTATCTACGCCACTACTTAGTCATCATAGTCACTTGCTTGTGAAATGGGATGAAGTTTAAATTCACTTGGTATTGTTTACGTGAATCTTCCCATTGATGTTTAGGACTGGAATTGATCAATCTCTTATTGGCATATGTGTATACTATGCTTACTGACTCGATATAGTTTTAATTCAAGTAAACAATATCAAGTGAATTTAATTTGTTCTTACCCTTAACCTACCCTGGTAACAGTGATTTATTATCCAGAGTGGTTATCACATAGTTTTTGTGTACTTTATTATTATCCTTGTTACGGCTTACCTTTAATCTGTCTAGTTGACCTGAAAGACCAAGTATATATGTATGCGATTGTACAACTTTGAAAATGAATTCACCGAAAAGAGAACTCTTTGTTGAACTAGTCTTTCTTATTTAAATTCTCAATGAGTGTATTCTGTTTACGAAATGTACTGCACTGTTAAGTCTGTTTTACATTGTTGTTACTCAGTTCTCTTCCAGTCTTTTGTATACTGTTTATACTACTTATTTACATTAAGTAAGCAGTTGTATTCCCAGCAATTTTTAAACTTATTACTAATACCTATAACGTTTATTGTACTTATCATTATATTTATCAGTATAATTCATTTACCTTAATCACTGTAGCGGTTATCTACAGTTTTGTGCATTTATTTAAACGCAGCAGTCTTCATATTGTTTTGCTCTTGGTTCAAGTTTCGGTTGTTGATAAACTGTTGTCAAATTTAGACACAGCTATCAGCTGTCCTTTGTACTATCAAAGCTTTTTTATTTCATACAAAAGGACGTGTTCAAACGTCTCAGACACCTCACAAGTTGAGATTTGTAACTAATTTTATGTATTATTCAATAAAGAAACGCTATTGTAGACAAATCGTTGTTTTGCGAACTTCGGTTTTGCGCGTATCTCAATTGAGTGACCTGGACACTTCGATAGATCTAACATGCACAAATATATTACATAATTCTGTTAATCTTCGTCTTCTCATTTCATTAACGAAAAATGCATTTGAAGACATGCAAGAATATAAAAATTCAAATATATATATACTTTTTTTAAAGATTTACTCATATAATACTGATTAACAAAATAGTAAGTAAATAGAATACACCCATTTATTAAGAAAGATTGGTTCGCTGTAAAGAAGAAAATGGTAAGTATCAAAATATCTTCACAATAATAATTTATTTTATCTATAATATTTCCAATTTATCTTCTTTTATTATTTTATCTTGTAATAGACATTAGATGAAGTCCGCCTGTAGCTCTTCTTGAGTTACTACCAGTCCCAAACCTGGCTAACAGAGGAGGGTTAGGCATGGGGTCAGCAACCCCATCTTGTAGAACAGAAACTCTTGCTAAAAAAACGCTGATCAGATTAAACAAAGTAAGACGAATTATATACATATCAGATAAGTCATTGTTACGATGGAATAAGGAAAGTGTTTTAATAATAATAATAATAATAACAGTATATAACAGCATTCTTCAAAAAATATGAAAGTTTGTTATGAAATACATCGTTTACATAGCTTGAATAACAGTTACTGGATCAATGATTGGTATTTTCTGTTTACGAAAGCAAATAATTGCGACAATAATTATGATCATTAAACTGACACCAAATATACCCAATATCACTACACCCAAGTAGACTGTTTGAATAAGAATTTTAAAAAAAGAAAAGAAAATAGAATACAATTAATGTGAGAGTTAATAAACTTTACTGATAAATTTTATTCTTAATTTTTAGCGTGAATACTCATTCCTCTGAGGGTTCTTATGGATGCAGGTAAAGTTTTTCACCTCAACATTCAGGTAGAGAAATTGTTATAGTGTCCAGTTCCATGAATGTGATGTGTGTAAACAAATACTCTTTTAAAACGTTTAATGACTGATGAGCGCTCACATCTCCAATTGTCTGTCCGAACCCTTCGCTAATTAGGACAGAGAGGTTGACTAAAGTTGTAACTTCGTAAACTATCTTCATTCTAACCTGAGGATCAGAATGAGTATGTAAATACACCGAATTTTAACACCGTTTACTAGTTATTATATATTTTCGTAGCATCTAATGTCCAGTTGTCTAAGAATAATACCCTGATGAGTGTAAACAGCTGGAAAAACTCCATAATATCTCACTTTTCAGATTAGCTGGGTTTAGAGCCTCAACCAATCAGTATCAAACCTACAGCAGATCGTAATAACAAGCAAAAAGGTGAGCACCTAAATCATTATAATTGCAGCCATGACCAAAGCAAGTGTGAGATAACTCCCGATATCATAAACAGATATTTTCCTCCCGATGTATTTAGGTGTCTGCATTGTTACCAATCCATGATTTCAATTTCTTCATGGCATATCAGGAGAACTTTGATACAATATATTTGGAACTAGGAATATCTGGAAAACTTTGACGAAGGAAACTGGATTCATTGATCAAGATCAAGATTATAACATTTCCACCGACTATCGAAGAGAGGAATCGGAAAATGGCATTTAGCATTTGTATCAGTTAGATCAAAGAGCTATAACATCAGTAGTGTTTAATAGACCTTGATGATACTTAGCATCAATAGTATAGTTTCTAACGTTGTCTAGCTGAAGTAACGTAGAGCTAGTCGACGTGTATTTATAGCAACTCGTAAATGCACAATTCCCCAATCCTTAATATTACTGGAAAAGTAGTGTTTGCAATGGAAGTTACAAACACTTCCATAAACAAGTATAATTATAAGTTCTTCACTATCGGTGTTTAGTCACCATTTCAGATTGTAAATACTAATGCTTTACAATGAAGTCATTACATTTTTTCACATAATGAATAACCTTTAAAGAATAACTGCTTATCGAATCTTAGTAGAGTATACATACGAACTGAACTATTCAACTTTACAGAATAGATAAGTTTTGGCCAACAGTTATACTTGCCCTTTAAGAGACTTCTCAAATGGTGAATAGACTTCCATCGCAGTGTCAATGTTCACATAGAAATAAAATATTCTCGCTTGATTTCATTTCTAGCCATAATTTATTTATTATATAAAGTGACTATATCATAACAATCGACTTATGATGTAAATATACCAAACGAGACTAATGATTTGCTATCCTTAACATCAGCACTAGGACAATACAAATCTTTCTAAGTAATATTACATTTATTCACATAAGTAATTGTATATTACTTCGTACAATGTACGTCGTCATTTAGCATATGTACTGTTCAAATGTTATTGATAGAAGGTTAGTCCATTATTCTTCTGTCATTTTTTAGATAGATTCATTACTATCTAATTATTTGAACACTTCTCATACGTAACTATAACTAATCCTAGTGACTAACATTTTATGGTCTATTTTTTTCGATTCTTCAATCTCATTCTTATCATCAACTATAGATTCTAGCTTTGATTATTCTTATCATAACTAGAATACCTAATATCACACTATCAATTTGTACTGTTTACCTGTCACATTTAGTAATGTAATCATTTGATTATTATTACTATGAGGTTGTGGAGATTGTTAAGTTTTTGATTGGGTTCATGGACCGATCGATGTTAGACCATCATTGAAAACCTGGAAGAACTGGATAGCCGTTTCGTCTTAGTATGGGACTCTTCAATGCTGTGCATCCGCAACCCTGCACGTGGGATTCAAACCCAGGACTTCCAGAGGTCTATAGGTTAAGCGTTTTCATACAAGGCCGAAGGTCCTGGGTTCTAATCCCGCATGTGAGATTGTGGATGCGCACCGTTGAGGAGTCCCATGATAGGACGAAACGGCTGTCCAGTACTTCTAGGTTTTCAGTAGTGGTTTAACATCAGTCGATTCATGATCTTAATCAAAAAATATTTCATTATTATTAGTCTAATATTATCATATATCCACTTAAATATTACTATTTCTTAGCCCACAAACTAATAAAGATCAAATACAAATCAATAGTGTTCAGTTATTTTTCTACTGTTCTCATCTAAAGTATATGAACTTTATTATAATTTGTTGATTAGATTGTGAAATTTGAAGAAAAAAAACTAAACGTCAAGTCATTCAACTGATCAATGACTGAAAGTAACCAATTACTTACAATTACGAGATCTAGAACTTTCACTCTTTGATTTATCTTCAGACTCCGTGACTTGTGACTTAATAAATATCATTTGAAGTATTATTAAAAGAAGTATTGTATATTTCATTGCCATAGGTTTTCTCATTCTTCTGTATAAAAAAAATTAATGAAACCTTAGTTACTAGTATATGAACACAGATGCCTTAGAAATATTGCTCTCATCTGCTGGGATCACTGGGTAAGTAATAATGAAGTTAGATTCAAGGTATTAGGGAACGATGGTAAATCAGTTAGTGAGGTTGTGAATCTCCATCGACTGTGACGGTCAAATAATATACAAAGTGAGCAACCGAAAACTACTTTACATAATAGGCTGCCATTTTTGATTTTCTATGAACACCACTGATCATTGGCAGCGAAATCACTAACATTGGTATACATACTTGCTTAAACCTGTTATCCCTCGTGGAAAAGAATAGTCCACCCCAAGCATTCTCCAACCAACCCTGTCCTAGGCAGCCCTTTCCAGTTGTAATTCATCCTTTTTGTTAGGGATGCAGAGGAATATAGCAATAACTATCGTGTTAAGTCTAATGGTGTCCTTGGACGTTAAATGGACATTTCCTATTGGTCGATATTTATTTCACCTGTCAAATATTGTACAAATGTTGTTTTCTATTTTATGGTACGATGTGGTCTGGTTGGTTGGTATATAAATAGAGTATATCTGAAATATAATGATTCATATCTCCGAGGCTAAGACTCGTGTTCTAGACTCAACTGGCGGGGCTAGACAGAGAAGCGGGACCAATCGAGACTCTAGGCCATCCGTACGTGTTTACGTGTCATTGAATCGGTCGATAAATACGCTGCTCTCTAATCTGCAGTCAAGGACACAACAACTGGCACGGGGTAAAAAGTGATCCAAGTTCAAATTCACAACACTTTTTATATCTGCTTCCAATTCCCCACGTAGTATGTTATTTAGCCTTCCACTTCTTTGCTTCCCTTCGGGATTACAAGTTAGTGCTTACCTCGTTATGCAGTTTGATGGTTTCCAATATGTGTCCTATCCCCCTCCACCTACGCCTACATGAACATCAATTAGCAGTCAAACGCCATGATATCTCTTCACTTATATCAATACACGTGGATAACTACGGACATTCATTCGATTGGGAAAATGTAGAAATCTTAGACAGAGGAAACTCCAAAAACACCAGAGAATTTTTAGAAGCTTGGCACTCAGGTCAATCAGCAATCAACAAACATATTGAAATCAATCCAATTTATCAACCAATCAGGAAAATCATGCATAAATATGGGAACAAAAACCAAACCAATGGGAAACACAACCAAAACAAAGAAGTAAACAATGATAAATTTAAGGTCAACAAGAACCAATCAACATCGAGGTGCACAGAACAAGCTGTGAAACACATGTGGAGAAATTCGAACACTTCACTTCTATCTGAAGTTTGTGCTGATGATGTCGTTCAGAAGAACGGTGAAAGCTCCACGACCAAACCATCCAGCTCAGAGAACAAAACTTCATCAAAACTAGTGCTTAATATTTCATAATTTCAAATTTCAAAAGGCGTAAACTGACTTATCAAAATATAAAATAAATAATCTTCAAAATTAAATCAGTTTCATGTGAAATGAAATGCATGAATGTAGGGAACCTCAACGTGAATGAATTCTATACTTTTCGTCATCGACGAACCTTAGTTATATGATCATTAGAAAGTGAGAGGAATTAGGCATTTATTGTATCTTTGTGTAAGACTCCTTAATAGTGCTCATCCACGATCCTGTCGGTTTATAAATCCAGAGTCTCTAGGTCTTACAATGAGCGCTTAAACTTCTTACCACCAAGTTAGAATCCAATAATTTATATTTTCAACTCCAGTCGATAGTGCAGACATTCTTCCACGTCCAGCATGGTTGAACCCCATTATTCACGACTTTGCACGACATTTGTGAGAACCATCTCTCTAAATCAGATACTAGTGACCATTATAGTTACTTGATTAAAGTTTGACATGTAAGCTACCAGATACCAATTCATCGATATGACGACTGAATGTTCGCTACTAGTCCTGAAGTTTCAGTGTTTGATCCTCTAGATGTTCTTGAGTGGGTACTGCTGGGGAGTCTCACAATAGGATGGAACTTATATCCGGTGCTTTATGGTTTCCAGTATTTTTATATCAATGATGAATAAGTGATGTAAATTACGGAAATTCAACTATCTCCACAAAATCTTTTTACTAATGAATATATCTGTAACTAAGATAGAGAGTAAAAACGCACTAATGATTTTCAGTTTGAATATACGGATAGCCTTATGACTAATGCTTCTTCAAATGGGAATAAAAGGGATGTAATGAAGTTCAAACACTTATTTAACAAATTGACTTTAACACACCTATCATTGGACAGTGTATAGATGTGAGTGATAGTAAAAATACCAGATTAGTTGGATTAAATTAAATGGAGTTAAATTCGTACTTATGACCTAATATTTGGATCCTATGAGTTTTATTCACTAAACAACTCCTCAATTACACTTATCCAAACGGTATACATTAATTAGATTTACAAAATTGAACTGTGAAACTCCAGTTTGATAAATCTAAAGTTATAAGCTTCAATGGATCCTACTTGACTTTTATTAAACTGATTACAATCCACCAAGTATTGGAAAAAATCATTAAATTATTCAAATTATGGATAGGAATCTTGAGTAAGTTTTGAACAGGAATTAAATAAAATATTTTGTAAGTTTATTCATAGAAATAAATCAAAACTGTTATTACGTAATTCGAAGCGAATACTTTTCAATTGACACTAGTCTTTGGATAACTGATGACGCTTATGAAACATTGGACCATTGTTTAATCTCCAGTTAAGACTAATCTAAACTTATTATCATGAGGTTTCACAACATATTGATTATTCTTAATTGATGAAGTTATCATTCATTAGTTTTATTTTTCAGTTTCCATGATTCATCCCTAATCCAATTATTAGTTACTAGTATTTGATCATAGGTGTGTTCGAACCATTGCTCGTATATCCTGAGACCATCGAGTAAGTAATGCAGTTGTTAGAAAACGTGTACTAGGTAAGGATGACAGATCCATTGATGAAGTGATGAAACTTCATCAGTTGAGATGACTGGGACACCTGTTACGTATTCCCAACCACCGACTGCCCCCACGAGCAGTGTTTTATGGTGTAGGGGTAGGTTGGAAAAAAGCTAGGGGCGGCCAGAGCAAAAAATGGTACAAATCCATGAAGTCACTGACAGATGAACTGAACCATTTTGATAGGTGTAGACAACGTAGTTAAGATCCGCAAGATGATAGAAACCAATGGTTAGAGACCATGGATGACATGGCTCAAAATCGTTTGCAATGGCTCAGGTGCATACATTCTTTGTGTTCTCCCAAATTTTGATCTCCTGATTCTTCCTTGTCTCTTTTTTTCTCTTCCCAAATTTATTTTACTGGATTATACTCTTTAAATAACATCTCCACACCCTAACGTTTCCGGTTACTATTTATACTCTTAATACCTCTACCACTACGGGATTTGAATCGACAACTGCATCTCTGTGCTTATGTGGTTTGGCAACTCGAACTGATGTACGTACGTACGAAGTTCTACGTTGTTACTGACTGACTGACTGAGTTAGAAATCATAATTAGCGAAATTCAATCATGTTAATTATGAAGAAGGTATTCATTGACAACGTTAGCGTTTTTTTCTATGGCATATAGTCGCTAACCCCATATCCAACCCTCTTCTTTTATCCGGGAGTGGAACCGGAATTAGTCCTAGAGGATCTCCAACATCAGAATTTTCAATACATGTGTCAAAACAGTTCTATTGTATGGGGCAGAAACATGGAGAACTACCAATACAATCATCCACCAGATACAAGTGTTTATTAACATCTGTCTACGCAAAATACTTCACATCCCTTGGTCAAACACTATCAGCAACAACCGACTATGGGAGAGAACAAACCAGATCCCAACGATGGAAGAAGTCAGGAAGAAGCGTTGGGAATGAATAGAACACATATTGAGGAAGGTACCCAACTGCATCAAAAGACAAGTTCTCATTTAGAATCCTCAAGTTCAAATGAGAAGTATAATACCAAAGAACACATTACGTCGAGAAATGGAGATAGACATGAGAAGAATGAACAACAATTGAATAGAACTATAAAGGAAGCCATAAAACAGAGTGGATTGGAGAATGCTCGTCGGCGCCCTTTGCTCCATTAGGAGTAACAAGCGTTCGTAATTAATTAAGTATTCACTAACAACACAAAATGATTGTAACACTACCTCATAAAATTTTGACAATCCTAATTTCTACCCAGTAACAATCATCATATATATTGAACAATTCAATCATAACCAAGACTTAACTTTTGTCTAACATTTCCTAACTATCCAGATAATATAATAAAAGCTAAATCAACATCATATATATATATATATATACAAATAGTAATATATATTTAGTAAGAATGTAGTTTTTCATACTTACTGTAAGATTAGAATACTTTCAGATCTAAATGACAAATAGATTAGATATTTCATTTATATACGTTTTCTTTATTGAATAATCAGTCTATTGTATTTCTAGGTGAACTTTATCAATCAATATGTGTTTATATCATCCATTGAAATGTATTCAAAGATATAACATTCTTCTCATAATTAAAATTTTATATTCACAGTCACTTCTAATGATGATGATGATGATGATACATAATACTATGATGGTATTTCAATAATATGTTTATATGGATGTTGTTTAAAGATAATATACAAAGTATTTTTAGAAAGAGAAAATTTCTAATATTTCATTTTTATTTAGTGGTTAATAGTTGTTTATTTAAACTTTATTTATGTTGTACAACATATAAAATTCAATATGCCGTATGAACTATGTAAATATATATATATATAGATTCAAATCATTATCTATTTACTAATGACTAATTTCTAGAGTTCAGTTAAGTATCAAGGACTAATAATGTTCATGGATTAGTTGAAGTTAGACATTAACACCGTTGGATACCGGCTCAGTGGTCTAGAGGTTAAGTGTTCATAGGCAAGACTGCTGGGTCATGGATTCGAATCTCGCAGGGCGGGATTGTAGATACGCACTGATGAGGAATCC